GAGTGTTTGTCACAGATTGGATTGGCTTATGCAGCAACTTGTACACAAGTTAATAAGCTGTCAACTGCAATTTAAAGACTGCGGCTGCCTTGGACTGTACGTGATATTTATCATATAGGAACAGTATATGTGTATGACTATAATCACTGGTAAATTATTGTTTGTTTTTTTATCCGTGTAGGACTCACATCTTTACCAACAAGATCCTCTTGATTTTCAACAATGCCCCAGGGAGCGATTCCAATGGTGCAGATTTTACCCCTCGACTTAGAGGCATGGTCTTTCAAGGCATCCCCCACATGACGAATCACACCTGTGCATTTGCACGTGTGTTTGTCAGGGTTTGATCCAACGTAGAGAGGAACAACAGAAAACAAATGTTTGTTACAGGCAATACAAAGGCAATTAAAAGACACATTTAATGATTCGTTGTGAAGTGGAACCTAATTGAAAAGAGAGGACAAAACAGAGAAGCAGCGTATCTGGAAAATACACGCAGGGAGATTGAAACCTGGACAGGATTCTTGTAGTTCACCCCAGTGGATTTACAACATCAGGTCATTTGATTTCATCTCTCTGTTACTGTCCTTTTTTTTTTTTCTCATCCACCCATCCACCCATCCATCCTTCTATTTTTTTAATTAGGCTCTTCTGTTCTGGTTAAAAAAATATATAAATTTTAAATAAATAAAATATAATGTAATTAAGGATGGGATATATAATCATGACAATATAAGAATTATCTGATAAACAATGCCAAGTTTGAAATGCACAGAGAAGTTAAGCTATTATTTTATCTTTTTTATCTCTTGCACCATATGTTAAGCTTATCCTGGGCACGTCATCATTTTTTATATTACAGTATTCTCATTATTTAGTATAATGTGTTTTACATCATATGTGCTTCTGTCCTGCCTGTTAATGAGACCCTTCTTTTGTAACTAAGCAGAGTTTGTAACGTAATTCAAATTTACTGAAATGGATTAGGAATTAAAAATGTTATAAATAAATACAAATCAAATTGTATTTGATTAGATTAAAATAGATCTGAAAAACAGAATCGGTCAAAGACTGACTGGCACACAATTAATATGATAATCATAGGTAAAAAAAATGCATTTAGATATATAAAATACTCCTAATAGCTTAACATGAATAAAAACAACTCACTCAAACTGATGTTTTGGTGTAAAAAAATAAAATCAATAGACTTTTCCACCACACTTCCAACTATCTCCCAATAGTGTGTTGTAATCAATGTGCCAACCTGAAAGTTTGACTGACAACTTTTTATAAATGTCCTCCAGAATACACCAAGAATCAGGAGATGAAAACATAAAGTTGCTTACATCAGGCTCACAGTTAGTCAGTAAATATGACTGAGCACAGGTTCCTAAAGTTGTTTGGACATGTACCCCCTTCTGTATCCCAAATGGGCTGATGTACCCCACACTTCATGATGATATATGACATTGATATATGACATTATGAAATTATGATTGGGATGATACAATAACATACTATAACAAAGACAACAACTGCATAGAATATGGTGAGAGTAAGTAGTGTTTTTGTCAATGTGTGTGGTACAGAGTTGGGTGTCGCCACGGAAACCTTGTCAAAAGGTTCATTGTTGGGTCAGTGGAGAGACACAACCCAGAAGTTGAGTATTAAAAAACAACTTTACCTGTGTTGACTCCACCAGTGAAGATCCAGGCTCCTGTTGTCATGGCAGCCTTGATCAGCCCTTTGCCAAAGACCTGTTTGAGTTTTGGTTGTAATTCAAAGTTCTGCAGGCCTCCATGCACTGAGATGAGCAGCTTGGGCAACTCCAGCTGCCACTCCTTGGTCATCAGGTGGAGCAGCAGGTCAGGCTTGGTGTCATATGAAACGCGCACATACTGTAAAACAGCAAGAAGCAGTGATGTATGTATCTGGTTTAGACTCAGGCATAAAAAAAACAGGACACATGCAAATACATACAGTAAGTGTACATACTGCATGTTATCAGAGGTTTAACAGGCAATACAGAGAAAATAAAACAGCAATAAACTAGTACAAATCATCCATTTGTATTATTTAATCCTTAAAAAAATAAATCACTGCTTACATGTTTTACATGAGGCGTACAGAAAATAAATACATATTTTTAAATAGCCTGATAAAACAGTATTTTAATTTGATTGATATGTGAAACATAATTTCATTTTCTGCTTAACATAAGTGATACTGTTAGACTGAAGCAAGTTTATCACTAGGTTTCTGAGGCCATTATATATCAGCACTTCACTACAGTTAGATTTTACAACATCATTATTTATTAACGCCAATGTCAGTAACTTGTATAAATAGTTAAGTTTTGTTATAACTGACAGCCATAGAAAAGTGATTTCTATCACATTACATGACATGTTTTTATAGTAAGCAGTGATATATCAAGATACTGATAAAACACAGCCACACAGTGTTCAGGGAATCACCATCGCTTTGTTGGAGTGTCCTCCTCCCTGGAACTCAATGGTACCGAAGGCATCGGTGGGACTGAGCTGTGTGTGTTTGCTGATGGACCACTTCTCCGACAGGCTGTCATTCTTGGCCAAACGCTCTGCCTTGTCATTTTGACTGGACGAGATGCCGGGGGGCAGGCCCACATGCTGACCTATCAGACGTCCACAGCAACACCTGGATAAGAGGAGTAAGTGAGAGTGAAAATAACAGCTGTCTGTTAGTCACAGCTCAACAGACTAAGTGAAAACTTGACAGATCTCTAAGCTTCAGGATCTTTCTATTTCAGGAGGGAAAAAAAAGAAGAGAAGGTGAAAACAGTATTAATGAAAAGCAAGTGTGTCAGAGTGTTGTTCCCACTCTGTACCTGCATAAATCAATCAGATCAGGTAGAGAGTGCGCTAGCACACATGCTAAAGAAACACATGATTTTTCAAACCAGTTTTTCTCTTGATTCCTAGTTTATAATAATAATTTAAATCTAACATTATGGCAAAATCACAGGTTATGTGGTTTAGATGGATTCTTAAACTTAACTAAGCAGACATGATACATGTCATGTGATCTGAGTGTGAAAGTGTTTTCCTTTTGGACTTCATAAATTATTTTTAGAGAGTGTCCTTAGAAACGTCTCCTAAGTGCTGTATTCCTATTTGTGATCATCAAGAAGCTCAGATGACTCCAAGGTCACCAAAATCCGTTTGTTTATCCAAAAGAACAACTCTACCATAACAGCTCTTTTTGAGTTTGGGCTTGTTTTTCAAAATCAAAATACTGGAACTATCAAAATCACTCTGTTAGAGATCTGATGTAATTCTCTGTAACCAGTAGCCAACTTATAAAGCAAATGAAATGCAAAATGAGTCAGGACTGAACAATTCCCAGGCTGCTGTTATCATGTCAGCCCATAAGACTTAATTTGAGATAAAATAAAGTGTGGAAAAGGTACATTTAAGGGAATCAGCAGATTTTTTTTTATCAATCCTGCTCTGGCCTATTTATATCACATTAATATTTAAGTTGCATGTTTTTAATAGTACATGTCGTGGCATTAGCACAACACAAACCCAGTCATAAGTCATAAATATACAGAGATTGTAACAAAGTCAAGGGTTGATATCCATATAAGTTATACAGAATGGTTTGGTTAATTTCCATGCTTTAATTAACCTAACAAACTGTTTTCATCCATTCTGATGCTGAATGTCACCAAATGGATATTTTTGGGTTTAAATATCTAAAATATTTATTTGAAGTTTGTGTCCTTTTTCATATTCAGCGTAGCTATGAGCAAACATTAGACAATGTTCTTCCATGCTTTACTGGTGTTCAAAATGGCATTACTGACAGAATGCAACGCAGAAACGCAGAAATTGCTAATAACGTCTTAAGATGTATGGTGATTACGATAAAGAGCTGTCCATCAGCACCACTGTTTCCAGGAGCCTGCTCAATAATGAGTAGGAGACAGTCTTTCTGTAGGACACAGTTGAGGCAAAACAAACAGAAAATATCTCTGGTGCAATTTACAAACACTTGACAACATCGAAATGTGAGTGAATGTGCTTTAAAAAGTGTAGGTAAATAGAATATGACAGCATGTCATTTGATGTTCATGTTCCAACTAAGCAGAAACAAATCTATTTAGGCCTAAAAGAATTTTTCAGCACAGACCGATTTTGTTCCTGTTCTCCACAGCTTTTGAACACATCTCCTTTGTTCTCTCTTATACCTTTTGGCAATCTGAGAATTATACGACTGACAGTTAAATTTTACAGCATGAATTGAAATATTCCTTGTACAAAGTTATTGGGATGATTTGAATACTCTGTGATTTGACTGTTTTTTTACAGGATGGGATGGAGGCCCTGAAATAAAAGAGACTTGTTTTTTTATCACTTCATGTTTTTGTCATCTCTTCCCAAAAGTTATTTTACTTTCTTTACTTTTTGATTAGTTGGTTGTTTTCTTCTTTATAATTTGACTATCTTATTGTAAGACACCTCTTCAGTAGTGGACCTCGGGGTCATCGAGTGTTTCGGCCATTATCACTAGACACTCTCCCCCTAGGAAGGCCCCACTGGGGTTGATCATGCCCCAGGGTGTGTCTTGTTAATTAATTACTATTAGATTTGTAACTAGATTTCTAACTTGATTGTAGCTAGATTCCTAACTTAGATTGATGGCCTTTTTTGCACTAGAGTTACAGTTTATTATTTAGTTATGCCTATTGTGTTTACTGTTGTGGGTAGATTTTTGTTGAATTTTTGTTGTTCCATCCATCCATTTTCATCCGCTTATCCATTACCGGGTCGCAGGGGCAGCAGTCTCTATGATCGCCACCCAAATCACACTGCACCATACCAGCCCCTCGTGAACCTTCCCGCTGATGGTGACTCCCCTGGAAGGGACCAACTGCCCTAACCAGGATTCGATCTTGCCCAGGAGGTGAACTCTGGGGTTCCACACCAATGACAGAGACATTGCCTCTGGGCCAAAGCACCACCGTCTCATAATAATTGAATATAAATATTTGACTTAAGTCTAACTACATTGTTACTCACCTATGGGGGTCTTTGACGCTTGCTATGATATGAACACACTCTCTCTTGCTGA